CCACGATGAGAGTTGAATAAAAAAGATTGTTGAGATTGTACAACATAAGCTTGAGGCGGTGGGGTTGGAAGAAGAGGCGGTTAAGACTGAGCAGAAAATGCCTGAAAACACTCAGTATTGGAAGAAGAGAGTTTCTTACGACGAGACATTGAAAGTTCCTTGGTGAGAAGAAGGCCATGTAATTCATAGAGAGACGTGGAAGAAAGATGTAACATGATAGAATCAATGAAAGATTCGAATTCATCAGGTAACCAGCTAGAGTAGCCACCATTAGATCGTGATCATAAATAGGTGCACCAGCAGCAAAAAGAGAATAAGAGATTTCTTTGAGTTGTTGAAGATAATCCGCCATAGATTGAGTACCTTTTTGAATTGCTTGAAGATGAGACCGGAGTTGATGAATGTGAGCATCAGAGACTCCACCAAAACCCTGCTCAAGCTTGATCCAAAGATCTCGAGCAAAAGAGACACCAACAGTGAAAGGAATGACATCTTTCGAGAATGTATAGTTCAACCAAATCAATAGATTCTGATCCTTTTCATACCATATCTCAAAATCTGGATTGATTGAGCGATCGAGAAGAAATGGCGGCGGACATGGCTCAGTACCGTCAACAATGTCGAGAGGTTTATATCGCCTGAGAATTGGTGTAAACAAAGCACACCATGGAAGATAGTTAGATCTCTTAAGCTTAATTGGAACCATGCTTCCAATGTTTTGAATTGTGAGAGAAGTATACGAATTTGAAAAATTAGGGTTTGTCAAGGGATTTAGGGCAGAATGCTGAAGCGATTCATGAGAAAAAGAATCAGACAGAGATGCCATGGTAATTGAAGAGAAGAATTAGAAGAAACGATCAGCGAGAATCAGAGAGACGAAGCAGAATTGGAGATCGAATAAGCCGTGAGGCAGAAGGCGAAAGATACCATGTAGAAATCCAGAGTTTTGAGATAAGAGAGAAAATAGAGTTTTCTTAAGGATGAAGAAAATTGTATTTCTCATTAATTAAAAAGAATGATACAATTACATATATATAGCCTTTTGACTATTGACAAGTGACTGATCTAATTACATATGTAACCTCCTTATAACAAACTAATAACCAATGCTAACCAACTCTTGTCATGGTGTGGCATCTTCATCTTTATTCTCATCATTATAAATGATCACATATGATCGGCACCCACTGCCCTCCTCAATTATAAAGAAGAAAATAAGGCACCCTGTCGATCAATGGTGGCAAGGATAGGACTTGGGAGACAATGAGGGTTTTCCATGTGACACTTCATGTAAGAAAACTAGAAATCAAATCCATCTAGCTACATGCTAGTCATTTGAGGTGTTACAATATTTAGGCTCGATTGAATCCCTCTAGCTGCATGCTATAGTTGTTTGGATTTCTTCAACGAAAGGTAGATTCGGCACCGAGTGTTGTCTCGGTCGTATGACAACATCTTTGCTTCTTTATGGAGCAAGATATGCACATGCTTTTTCACATCCATCAGGATATTTTATCGCCATTTCAGGGTTGGTGGTCTATATGGCTCAGTCGATGTGTGTTAGGAAAGGGTAAGGGGCATAAAGTCCCTAGATCGCCGTAGTTCCCACTAGTTTCTGTTCGACTATCTTCACTCGGAGTAATTGGTAATTAATCTTAGACTCGACAGCAACCTTACTCCCATGACTAATTTAACACTGCCAATAGACTCGACAGCAACCTTACTCCCATTCCCAACATAGACATTGTAGACTTTATTGTTTACTTCATTTGTTTTTTAGAAGCCCTGCAAGGAGTTAGTTATGTGAATGGAGCATCCAATATCAAACCACCAACTTTTAGGAGGAATATAAATCAAATTGGACTCTACATAGACAAAAACATTTGTTATTTTACCTTTCTTTGTAAGCCAGTTTTTGAAACCAATGCAGTTCTTTCTTAAATGACCTGACTTTTTGAAAAATAGCACTCATTTTCCTTTTTTATCTCAGTGTTCATAGGTTTAAATTTGAAAGATCCTTTAGAGGTGTTAGCATTTTTAAAAGAAGAAGAAATTATATTCTTCTTCTTCTTCTTACCAGCAGAAAACGATGAACCAGCACTGAAGGGTTTGGTCACTTTCTCCATTTGCACCAGATTCACTTCACTAGTCTTATCAGTTTTAAGCCGATCCTTCTTTTGTAAACACATTGAAATCAACTCATTTATCCCCCAATTGTCTTTGTGTGTTGTACGACACCTTAAGCTGACCATACTTCGCAAGTAGTGAGTTTAGAGCCATATGAACCAAAAACTAATCAGTCATGGGTACCTCTAAGTCGTTTAGCTTTAAGGAAAGATCAACCATTCTGAGAATGTGTTCTCTCACACTCCCAGTGCCATCAAATTTCATGGAGGTAAGTTGTGTGAGGAGTGTACTTGTCTCAGCCTTTTCTGATTCCATAAACGTTTCTCCAACAGCAGCTAGAAATGCCTTGGCATTGTCAAGTTTTTGAATCCCTCATTTGACAGGTTGTGTCATGGCTTTCTTCATAATCATCAGAGACATTCTATTGGCCATTTCCCACTTGTCAAAGTTCAGTTTCTCCTCGGCTATGCTTTTATCAGTCAAGGCTGCAGGTTTGTCTTCTCTCAATGCTAGGTCGAGATCCATCAATCCCAAAACTATCTCGACATCCTCCTTCCACTTCTTGAAGTTGGAACCATTAAGAGTTTCAATGTTGTTGAAATTAAGAGAGGTTATATGCAGAGCTATGATGGACATAAACGAAAGTTCTTTGTGTTAGAAATCTCAATCAGCATCTTAACATTTAGTGAGAAAACTTTTACATACTGTTTTCTCATTTCATCAATAAGCATATGAACACAACGATGTTGTTCATATTAATTTTTGTATAGCTGGAAGATAAGATACAAGGTCAATTTACATGTTTTTCAACACTTTTGAGTAGATGAATAATGTAATCTTGTCAATCTCATAGTTCCAATATACATTGAATCATCTAATTGATTTGAATAGTAAACACTTTTGAGCAGATTATTATTCAATCATTCTTAAATGGTCACCATCTCCATATATTTGATTCACAAGACAAAACAATAAACTAAACACTTTTGAGTAGAATAGTTATTGTTCTCCTGTTTTAACTATTCATGCATTATCATAATGATAACATGAATCCTACAATCTTGCATATCTGCACTGGTGTCTGTGTTTATTCATCTTTGCCATTGTTAGAGGATCTGTACCTGATAAAACTTGAGAAAACACATCATTTTGTACATAATATTATATACGCATGTATATTATAAGGAATTTATACTTTACCAGTCTTGACAGCAGCTTTGCAGCGGAATAAATAATGTCTCAAAATTATTTAATAGCGTTAGATTTCAGTATGAACCCTAGCCATGTTGAGTGGCACTAAAACCACATGTAAGCAGTTTATTAAAAAACCTATAAGCCAGAACTATATCAACTAGGTACTAAGATTACATGACTGAATCTTTTCCAAGATATAATGCAGCTTTTATCAGAAGGTAATCACATGAACACTTACCTATGTTCGATGCCATGTCTGAGCCGCAAGTCAGTCTTCTACTCCCACTACTCAATAGCTCCCTTACTGTGTGAATAGGTCTCAGTAATCTCTTAGGGTTTTTCACGATTGGGAGCATGGACTACAACTTCATATGTATATATACATATATACGTTAGCTGGGGTTGCACTACCGGCCTATCAACTGTTGCATGCCGTTATCATCTAAATAATAAAAGAGTCCTATCATGATTCAATATCTTTGCTTTAAACCCTTATCAGGATTTAATCAAGTTTGCTGCATGAATATAAGACTCCATAATCCTTATGAATTGGAGATCAACTATATCACTTTTATAACAAATAACTCGTAAAACAAGTTACTTGTCATTCAAGCAATATCAAAGACTCATTGTCATTCACTAGAACTTTTACATACCCATGAGTAGAAACAGTAACTGCTGAAGCTTCCGTGCCCTCCTCATTAACTTCCATGGAATATTTGTGAAATATTTGGGACAAACAAAGGTCCTCCTCACCCGAAGCTGGCGACTCCACCATCTTTGTCAAACTGTCAAAAGGTAATACGAGTCCCATATCCTTGAGAATTTCGGAAGCTTCCAAGGCAAAAGAAAACTTAATTAAACTTTGGGATTCTAAAGTCACCAACGAGAACACGTATATAGGGAACATGGTGATCTAAGAAATTGGAGCTAGAACAAACTTTCTCGATCAAAGCTGGTAGACCATCTACTTCATCCGAAAGAAACAAAAACATGGAGAAAAGACGCGACCCATCTAACCCCATTTCATAAGGAAGCTCTAAGACTTTGAAGCCATCAAAGGCACATACAAATTGTTCCTTAGAGCTTCTCATGAAGGGGTGCGTTAACTGATGATCTCCGATTGCCAAGGTAGAATTCATACTTTAAATTTAATGGATAAAACTTTTGACCCTCCTGCCAAGCTCCCTTAAAGTATAAAGCATTTCCAATGATGGTTTTGGTTAATGACTGTGTTGAGCTATATATTTTCACAAACAAAATATATTAGCAAGTCTTAATAAAAATGGGAAGACTTCAAAATAAAGTCCAAAATATGGACCGACTACAAATAAGGCTCACTTTTTATGTGTGTATGTGCATATATTCTTATATATACTATATTTTATATATAAGAAATAAAGAGAGGGAAAAACAAACCTACAGCCGCACACGTGGACCTTGGCGTAGACCAAGTCTGAAAGAAGTTCGTCATCTACATGGCAACGGGTATAGAGAACGTGTGTATCTAGAACCCTCTAAAACTCCCACGTTCTCCACTCAAGAGATGGTTTTCTCTCAGCATCTCCACACCCCAGGAAAGTTGCATCCCACTAACTTCAACTGCCATGTCCACTGTTCGCCTATAAAAAGGCATCGAACCAAAGCAAAGGGGAGGACACGGAAACAAGGGAGGAGACCCTGCAGAAATTAGGAGAGAAATTGAGAGATCTCGCCAGAGAAGAAGAACGAGGGAGGAGAGCAAAGCGAAAAAAGAAGGAAAAAGGAGACACGGCAAAGGAAAGAACCAAAACATTTAAAGGTACATATCTATCTTTCTAGATTTCTTTGTTTGGTTTCTCTCAGTTCTACAGGAAAAGAAAAATGGAGCAGTTGGCTTCGCTCTCCATCACGGCGATTTCAAACTAGAGAATAAAGCCGTAGGCCTCTGTCACCTTCCTTTCTCCATCAGTGAAGACACTTGTAGCACCGTCACGGACGTCAAACGAAAGTCCAAAAGGATGTTGCAGCCATGTCGTGACCTCTCTACCCATCAAGTTCGTCTATGCCGAGTAGTAGTCCATGCCGTTGTAGTTAATCCCATGAATTTCTTCGGGGTGGTCTAAACCACCCCGTGAAGTTCCAATCAAATTCAGGACGCTGCAATGGCTTTAACACCACCATCGCTGCGTCTTCGCTGTCATCAACAACCCGCAAAAGCCTGTGTCAAAAACAAATAGCCGTGGTCACATCTTCAAGGACAAGCCCGCCTCCGCATTCTAGAATTGATGGTGTTATGCACAACGTTCCAGCTGAGAAAAAGTGCCATAAGAGCTTTCAAGGAATAAAAAAAACGCTTACCGTCGTTGTTGTCTTGAAGTAAAAAAAATACCTTAGAAGGAAAGGACGTGCTGCTCACATAGAGTACCAAAAGTGGCACGAGCTGCTGTCTAAGTTGCCAGGAAAACCGAAGTAGCTGCCGAAGTCGAGATTGATGCTGCTTCAAAGTTAAGGACGTGCCACTGCAGTTATTCCCATGAATTTCTTCGGGGTGGTCTAAAACCACCCCGTGAAGTTCCAATTAAATCTATCAACTCCCCCAAACACCGGCACTTCAACCATCGTCACGGAGTTCCCGAAGCCGTTCTTCAATCCGGACAGCAGCATGCTACCTTTTCTCATCAACAGCATAGAAGAAGGCGGTCGTAGACGAAGTCCTCCGCCGTGTGAACAACAACCGTAGTAGCTCACATGTAGAATTGAAATGGTTACTGCTAGGAGCTCATTGAGAAACTTCGCATCAAAGAATAGAAGAATTCAAAAATTGGGCGTGTTGCTGCTGCTCCATTTTAGGAGCTTGGGGTGTTGATGCTGCTCCGTAAATGAAGATTACAAACTCTGCAAAAGAAAGTAGAAAATGAAAAGTAGAGAGGGAAGAGAAGAAAACAAAGGGAATCGGAAGGAAAATCTCCAGCAAACAAAAAGGATTCATGACTACAGTTGAAGATATTTTTTTTCCCCTGCGAGGACAAAATCCATGCAGGAAGTGGTAAAACTAAAAATGCTTTCTTTCAAAAAGCTTAGCACGTGGCACCTCCAAGATAAGTAAACCATTGTCAAATATTGGGCAAAAGATAAATTCAAAGTTGGAGAAAGAGGACAAAAACAAAGGAGTTTAAAACTCACAAAGAAGAGAAGAGTTCCAGCCAACATCATCAAAAGAAGCTTTTGTTACAGCAAAAGTAAAAATTAAAAAATGATTGATGTAGTCTTCTTCCCATACAGGAAGGCCACTCATGAGAAAAACAAAAGAAAGTCATGGATCCCCATTATGGGACACACTGACAAATTGACAAGACAAAGGAAAGCAAGGAAGGAAAAATGGTTTACGTGGGAGTTGGCTCACGTGAAGAGGAAGAGAGGATTTCGTACTTTCAAGTCTTATTGGAATTTGGAAGCTTTAAAATCAAATGAAAAACAATGAAGAGAAAAGCTTGATGTCAGAAGGTTTTGAATCAAATGGGTTCAAAGTCCCATATTTAAATGGGGTGGAAAATCAAAAAATAAAATAAAAGAAGAAACAAGAAGTTTGTTGCAAGCAAACTTCACAAATTAATTACGGACGGTACTTATATGGATCAAACCTTTCCCAAACCGTGTGAAAAAGTCATGCAAAGATGAATCCTAATTCACTAAGGATTTATAACACAAGGGAAGCCCTTCAACCAACCAAAAATAAAAGGTTGTTTAAATGCCTTTTTAGTCCATATGGTGTGAATCCCACCTTCTACTCAAAGAAAGGACAAAGTCCCATTTACTTTGTACTGCACATCCCTCGTGGGTTGCTACTTAAAGAAAAAAGTGAAGTCCCATTTCACAAAAGGTCATGTATGGGTTTCAAACAAGTCTGAATACCCAATTGACTTCTCATTTTTTCCAAGTCTGAACACAAGAATGCAAACCCAAATCAAATATATGAACTACGCCGGTTTGATTCCGTTAAGGATACGTAGGCAGTCTGATATCAAGTTTTAGACGCAACCGTGAAACCGAAACGAATCCCTGGTTTATATAAACTAAATTCACTCATACTATCAAATACCAAAATGGCACGAAGCCAAAGAAAAGTTTCAAAGGGCACAAAGCCGTATCAAATCTCGAGTGGCACGAAGCCGAAGAAAAATCTCAAATGGCATGAAGCCGAATCAAATGCTCCAATGGCTTAAAGTCCTCGCCTGCATGCTGCACAAGGCATCAGTTGCTCCTCGCCCGCATGAGCTGAAACTGCATAAGGCACTATGCTCCTCGCCCTCATGAGCTAAAACTGCTGCACAAGGCATCAAATCCAAACAAGTACCAAACACTATGAACTACGCTGGTTTGATTCCGTTAAGGATACGTAGGCAGTTTGATATCAATTTTCAGACACAACCATGAAATCAAGTAATGAACTACGCCTGTTTGATTCCGTTAAGGATACGTAGGCAGTCTAATATCAAGTTTTAGACGCAACCGTGAAATCGAAACGAATCCCTGGTTTATATAAACTAAATTCACTCCTGCTATCAAATACCAAATGGCACGAAGCCGAAGAAAAGTTTTCAAAGGGCACGAAGCCGTATCAGAGTCTCAGATGGCACAAAGCCGAAGAAAAGTCTCAAATGGCATGAAGCCATATCAAATTTTCAAATGCTCCTTGCCCGCATGAGCTAAAAACTGCATAAGGCACTATGCTCCTCGCCCGCACGAGTTGAAACTGCACAAGGCATCAAAACCCAAACACCATGAACTACGAGTGACTTGATCCCTCAAGAGGGTACGTAGGCAATCTAGGGTTCGACCTAGGTGCAGTCACAAAATCAAACAAACATCAAATTCCTCAAGTTACATTTTTATTCGAATTGGAATCAAAGGGTATTTCTTTCCCAAAAGAAAGATTGTAATTAATAGGCGTGTAGCCTAGAATGGGTCGAACTCGAATTAATAAAACCCTCTTCGGAAAACTGAACGAGGGTGAAATTGTGTCGAGTGAATTATTTGTTTACATATTATGTACAATTTTTGCTCAACAGACTGAACTGAATTTGGAGGAAGAACCTCTTTGATGAGGCCCTTAGTCACATTTTCAGCCCACAAATTGACTTTAATTCTTGCTTCTTCAGCCTTGGTCTTGGAATTGACCATTTCTGGAGCAGCCTTACAAAAAGTGTCCACCACTTCTTTGAAAAAAGGTTTGAGGGAGAGAGACTTGTCGACCCAAATGCCATTGGCAAAGAATAAGCAAGGACCCCTGCTGGCGGATTCATCTACGAAAGATAGAGGGAGGAGATCCAAGGTGAGGGTGTTGAGGTGGAGAGCACATGGTGTATCACCCGTGTTCCCGTCACAATGAAAAATTTCTCATTGAGATGGTCTATGGACTTGGCCCTTAGGAAAGAGAGCAACTGGTCCTGGGTGGAACCTTTTGTCCTAGCTGCCATCATGCTCAGCACAACCTGGATTGAAACCGGCATGCACACAATGTTGTTATCCTTACCTTCAGTCTACATAAGCAGATGTTTGGTCATTCGTAGTGCGACTTGGGTTAGTTTACTGACAGATTCTTCTAGTTTGCTGACAGGTTCTTCTGGATCCATTATTTGAGAAGTCGGAGGTTGATGCTGTTGTAGTTGAGGGAAGAAGGAAGACAACGGCTATAAAGATGTCAGGTACGTTTGGGAGATTTATATAGCTAAGCAGAACCTTATGCAGTTTTATATATGGCTAGGCAAAACCCTAGGGCAGTTTTATATATGGATCGTTTCAACCTCTTACGTGCCGCACAATGACTCTTAAATGCGATGTTATCTCTTACTTGGAGAAACTTTTTAACACACATATCTCACTATCATTTGTATTTATATAGTGACATGTGGTGTAAAACCCATGTTACGATCATACTAAAAAATCTCTCCTCTTACTTGCCGTATGCATTAATTTTGTTTTATTTTTTGCATTAATGATTTTTAAGTTAAAAATAATTAGCATTGATGATAGAAAATAATCTCAACATTTGAAGGGATCTAATTAGGAAGAATTGTTATTTAATTATTTAATTATTTTGTTATATATAAAATAAGGCTAAGTTCACCTCTAACCTCTTAGTGTAGATAATAGTATTTGTTAAAAAAAAAAATACTAATCATGGTTAGCATGTGGCGCGCCCTAGGACAGGTGGTAAGACACCCTCATTTGGATGGATTGTTCTTTGATTTATCGTTTCAAATAAACCATATGTTGATGCACAAAACCGGAGGTCTTGGAACAACGTAAATCCGACCGTGAATTTGCATGAAATGTAAAGAACACAAGATGTATCGTGGTTCACCCCAAGGTTTGGGCTACGTCCACACTGATTGTTGTATTTCTTTATAAGAGCTTGAGTGTGAGGGTGAGAGCATGAGAGCTTAGAGCTTAGGGGATCTGAGACGGCTTAGAGTTTGTGAGGGTGAGGAGACCCTTTTATAGAATAAGGGCTCCTCACTTATTACATATTTGCCCCTTCCTTTATCGCATAATTACATTTAAGTCCCCTGAGTATTTGTACAAGATCTAAATACGGAGGCCCTAAATATGGTATAAACAGTAGTCCCCTAAGTCTTCAGTCAAGAGAGTCTTTTGGCTGGAGACTTGAAATTCAGTCCATGTGTGGGCCGAAGTAACTAGATGTTATCTTGAGCTGATGCTCGATATGAGGCGGTGCTCAATCTGAAATGATGCTTAACTAGAAGTAGCACATGCTGTGAGGCTGCTCGGCTCGTGACTTATGTTGCCTTGGTTGGCTCGGCTTGTGGTGTTGAAGGTGAGGGAGTCATTTTTATAGAATAAGGGCCCGCTCCTCAATACATGAATGATGGGCAAGAGTTGATGCTCTCTAATGTTGGTGAGGGAGTCCCTTTTATAGAATAAGGGCTCGCTCCTTAATACATGAATAATGGGTTAGAGTCCCCCAAGTATTTTTCATGAGGCCCAGTTAAGGCCCAATATATGGTACATAATGTAGTCCCCCAAGTCTTCGGTCAATAGAGCCTGTTAGATGGAGACTTTTAATTGAATCCATGTGTGGACCGAAGTGGCGGTTGTTCGGGGGCGGTATTTGTATACCCTACACTGAAGCTTTGTAGGTAAAGCTTTGCAAGTGAAGTTTTGAAGCTGGACCTCTGTAAATGAAGCTTTTGAAGCTAGAGCTTTGTAAATGAAGCTTTTGAAGCTAGAGCTTTTGTGAATGAAGCTTTTAAAGCTAGAGCTCTGTGAATGAAGCTTTTGAAGCTAGAGCTCTGTGAATGAAGCTTTTGAAGCTAGAGTTTTTGTAAATGAAGCTTTTGAAGCTAGAGCTTTTGTGAATGAAGCTTTTGAAGCTAGAGCTATGTAAATGAAGCTTTTGAAGCTAGAGCTTTTGTAAATGAAGCTTTTGAAGTTGGAGCTCTGTAAATGGAGCTTTTGAAGCTAGAGTTTTTGTAAATGAAGCTTTTGAAGCTGATTGACATAAGTGATGCTCATGAATGTTTATGTTGATTGATATGAGTGATGTTCATGGATGTTGACATGAGTGGTGTTCATGGATGTTGACATGAGTAATGCTCATGAATGTAACATGAGTGATGCTCATGAATGTTTATGTATGATTGATATGAGTAATGCTCATGAATGTTTATGTATGATTGACATGAGTAATGCTCATGTATAATTTGGGAGTACTGAACGTACTTTTGATCACTTGGTTGGTGGTAATAGCGGCAAGTTGTCGAATAATTTTGGAGTACTGGGCGTACTTTTGATCACCTGGTTGGTGGTAATAGCGGCAGGTTGCCGAATAATTGTGGAGTACTGGGCGTACTTTTGATCGCCTGGTTGGAGCTATTTTGGGCTTATGGGCCTTCGCCCTCTACACAACATTCCAGCCTATTTATTTTGGACTTTGCCGTTTTTTATTTTTTATTTTTTATTATTACCCTTTGATGGGGTTTATACAGATGTCTCCGAAAGATAAGAAAAATAAATCACATCATACATCTGCCAAGAAAAGTAAATCACATCATTCTGGTGGGGTGTTTATTCTTTGCTTTCGCTTTCTCTTTTGCTTTCTGCTTTTGCTTTCTCTTTTGCTTTCTCTTTTGTTTTCTGCTTTTCTCTAAAATGGCAGCTGCTTTAGACAACCTTTCTGACATCACCCATTTGCTTTTCTCTGGCTTTCAAAATATAGGAACATGCATCCTTTGGTGGTCGACAAAAGAAAAAGTAAAGGTTTCCCATCATAGGCCTAGGCGAAAACGCAAAGTGAAAAAACAGCTTTTAGGGCCACTAGCAGCAATAGCCATCCTCTCTCTTTTTCCTTCTCTCTGTTGCACTTAATGGGCAGCCATGCTTTGCTCTTTTTTGCTTTTCCTTCACACCTCTTTCTGTAAAAATCCTCCAAACGAAAATCTCGCCTTACTCAGAAATAATGGACAGGAAATGGCAGCCTTACCAAGTTGAAAGGACCCTCCCTGCCTCTAACAGAAGTAAAAGAGAGCTTGGAAGGAGAAGCAGCAGCTTGACAGTGAGAGTGATGAAGTGAGGCTGGTGGGTCTTTGTCTTGTCGCCATTTTTGAACCCGGCGAGGTACTGATGGTAATCGCCCTTCAGCTTCAAGTAGAAGACCTTGGACTCTCCGGTGGTAGCCGAAGGAACGAGGTGTGACTGTAGGAGCTCCAAGATCCCGGCATAAATGGCGGAGAGCTCAGTCTCCACCTTGGATCCGTACTGCTTGACGAGCGCCACGTGCTCCTCGTTGAGGCGGCCTTCCTCCTTCTGCTTGATCGACGAGATTATGAACCAGGCGGCGCGGAGTGAGCCAATGACCTATGCTACTGCACCTCGTACTGCTCGGCCTGCTCGGCGAGCTTTGCCAGGCACACATATTGTCCTTCGCTGAGGTTTTCAGGGACGGCGAAAGCTATTGGAACAGGTGAGCTGTGTGAGAGTTGGAGAGAGAGCCGTAAGCTAAGGTTTTGGAGCCATCAGACGGAGGTGAATAGAGAACGCCGACGTGTCCTTAGGACTACACGACTTTCTGGAACGCATGCGTCAACAGTCAGCCGTCGATTTCGTCAAGTCCATAAAAAGTTTCATAGTGTCGTTTACGAACAATGCTCCTGATCCAGAAAGGAACAGCACTGCAGTGCATGACTTCTTTGCCCGGATGGAAATCGGTTTCAGGGCTCATCCACTTTAGGTGGGCTGTTCAGAGGAGGAGCTCGACAGTGCCGGTGAAGGACTGGAGAAGTATGTTATAACGAAGTTGTTTCCTCGCGTATTTGCTTCCCTTCCAGATGATGTAAAACTTGTTGGGCAACTTTCAAAATGAGACTTCATGGCTGGAACTGGGTCGATCTCGAAGCTCAACCGGGCTGATCTCGTCCGCACGATTGGCGAGCCTATAGTATCCTGTTGTGTTTCCAACGCTGCTGCCGTGACCGGGAATTGGAGCAGAAGACATGGGTTTTGCAGTGACTCTGCATGTGTTTGGTTCTTAGGTTTCTGTAGATTCACGGTGGAGGTTTGATGAAAAAAATGAAAGAGAACCGACATAGCTTTTCGTGTCGTTTCCCACAGACAGCGCCAAATGTTGATGCACAAAACCAGAGGTCTTGGAACAATGTAAATCCGACCGTGAATCTGCATGAAATATAAAGAACACAAGATGTATCGTGGTTCACCCCAATGTTTGGGCTACGTCCACACTGATTGTTGTATTTCTTTGTAAGAGCTTAAGTGTGAGGGTGAGAGCTTGAGAGCTTAAAACTTAGGGGATCTGAGAGGGCTTAGGGTTTGTGACGATGAGGAGACCTTTTTATAGAATAAGGACTCCTCACTTATTACATATTTGCCCATTCCTTTATCACATAATTACATTTAAATCCCTTGAGTATTTGTACAAGATCCAAATACGGAAGCCCAAAATATGGTATAAACACCATACATCACCCATTATGCCACACATAGGGTGTGGCATAATCTCAAACACACTGTTCACATCCATTCTATTCTATCTCCTCATACAGGAAATGTGACATGTGACCTCACGAGAAAAGAACGTGCATATCCAGAAGCATGTTATTAAGTTGTTACCAAACTAATAACAATGCATTACTCGGAAGTTCATCGCTTTATAACTCAGGCTATCCGTCATACACCAAACCCAAACATTCTTTATCCATCGTTATAAAATAAAAGGCAATGTCATGCCTCACAACACCCTCATTTGGGTGGATAAATCATACATTACTTTTCAGATAAATCCTACAATAATCGCAGTCACGCTTTCTACCACCGCTGTATCATTTACTTTTCTGATTAAGTTTACCTTCAGATCAAGAAACCATTCCTCTTAATTAGCTCAACATCCAAAACTGCAGGTGTAAAAACTGAAAACCAGATGCCCACCGCACACTTGAGCAATGACCTTATGTACCAAAGCTGCGGTCTCCAGCATCACCCAGTCCAGGGACTATAAACCTGAAACCGGTGCAAGCGTGACATAAAATATGTTAAACCAGTCTGCAACATTATACGCATTAGCAGCATTACATCAATGGGAGCTAGGTACTCACCCCTTTTCATTTACGGTAGGATCTATAATTCCAGTGTATACATGAAGCCTGTAAAGTAAACAAATGCAGAGTTAAGGAATGCTGAGCTTCGTTTCAAACTGTAATTATTGATTGATATGATTATTACCCTGGAAACTTCTCGCTCAGCTTTTGAAGTGCGGGAGGCGCAGCTACAGAAGATATCTATGACATGACAGATTATCTTAGGCTTAGAGAGTATGAACCAATAAAATCAAATGGAACTTAACCAGCTTATCTCATTGGAAACAGTTTAGAATTCAATTGACTTCATAACAGTTCATCAAATGTAATAAGCAACTGGAAATTGTCTCAACATAAAACTTCAATAAACTGGTTTGACAAATATGTACACATATTAAGATACCTATATGTAAATTTAGGAACACAGTTCCAAACAAAAAAGTGCAATCTATGATATTTACCAGTTTGATTTGCTTGTTGTTAACCCCGCGTTCCTTTAAAAGATCCAAAGATGCTACTATTGTGCCACCTGAAATTGAAGATAAAGAAAGAAATTGAGAAATACTACAGAACTAGGGCATAGCTTATTTTTTGATACTATTTAGTAGCTGCTCTTGATGGAAAGGAAAAATACAGCACATGTACTTGAAGAGGTTCACTAATCCTGAATACTCAAAAATGAAAATTCAGATACTATCACAAGTATAATAATAATAATACCTGTTGCTAGCATAGGATCAACCAAAAATACTCGAGAGCCTTCTGGAAATTTGTCCGGTAACCTAAGAAGAAGATTGCATGAAGGGTCACTACCAAAACTATCATATAGATAGGGTATTCATAAACGTGACCACCTTATGTTGAACTTTTCAGGCCTAAGATTAGGTAAGGACTACGAAATTGACAATGAATTGGGTGCCTCTCATTTGTTCATACTTTATCAAAGCGTTTGAAATGCTATTATTAAGTTGCTGCAGCTAATAACATAGAGATTTGGACATTGACTCCCAACAGCACCCGAAAGCAAGAGGTAAGAACAGGAACACGAAAACAAGTTTAGGCAAGGAACACTTACTTGTTCAGATATACTGTTGGTAGAAGTGTCTCCTCATCTCTGCTTAACCCTGAATTTATAAACCAATAAATATAAAGAGATGACAACATTGCATGCCCAGTTTGATAAAAAATTTCAAACAGATTATAGAAGATAAGTTTCATGGAACTTCAAAAAATTTAATTAAATAAAAACAAAGAAAATTGAGTGTTTAGAGCATAACACCAAATGATGACAAAATTTTCACTTAGACTTCATGACCAGAAGACCTTTCAGTCATTCATGGGTATAAATTTATCGTAACAAGAAATCTAGACACGCCAAACATTCTTGTTTACTTCGACTGCAAAGTGAACAATGCACGAACCCTTCTTACCAAGATGGTACGTCTTTGTGGCAGGCAAGATTGACGATGCATGTTCTGCAAGTGCTAGACCAGCTCTCAAAATTGGAACAACCTGCAAAACTAAAACAATAAAAATCAAATAACACTCGCCTGCACTGAGAGCACTGTGGTAAGACAACCACTGAAACAATCTTTAATAGCAAACCATAATCAACTAATATGAAAATCCAAAGAGAACATATAGCCGATATATCCTGAACAAGTGAACCCGATGTTCAACCATTAATAGAAAATAGAGATATACAGCTATACAGGGAGCAACATATTTGCATGAAAAAAATGCAAGAAATCAATACTAAAAACTAACCAAAATAGGTTCCCTTGGATCTATGAATTCAACTGATGCAACACCCATTGGTGACTGAATATCTCCTGTGACCGTAGGCTGAAATTTAAAGAAACAAAGCAAAATTACTTCATATGATGAAAATAGAATATAATCCTCAAAATCATTGCGGTCGCGAACTTGAGAGTGTAAATTAAGAAAAACTAACCAGCCAATCTCTTGAAGCTTCATACATAAGAAGCCTCCCCAACTCAGCCATGGCATTTCCTAAAGCATACGAAAATCAATGCCTCGTAAGCAACTCAATATCGTTTAACAATTCTAAGCTCAAAAAATAAAAACCAAACACTTAAATAGAGTTCAACAATCAAGCTAGATACTTTGACAACGAATTTATCATCTGGGACTCTTCAAATCCACTCAAATATTCACTTTACATAGAACCGAAAAAGCTAATTTGTAACTTACGAAAAATTGGACAAGGGGTTTGCTCATTTCTCAAAACCGAAACCCAATGCTTGATCAACGGGTGCGGCGGCACGAAAACCTGGAAAAAAAAACCCAATCAACCCTTTGAATTGAGGACAATATTCAGTTATTCACACACCAAATCACAGATTCTGACAGCATTATCTATTCCCATCTCTTAAAATTCACCCAAAATTTGGCAGCAAATTCCAAACACCACAAAAAGACTTAAAAATTCAAAATTCATAGATTGTTAACCAATCAGAAACTAAACGGAGCATAAGTTGAATAGTGAATAGTGTACAGTGAACTGACAAGCATTCTATTCCCGGAAGCTGCTTTCTCCTCCGTGGCCATCTCAGACTTCACCGCAACGAGGCTGCGCCGCCGCGTACAGGAATACGAGATCTGCCAGTACAAAAACCACGGTTTGATGCTTAAATTACCAAGGAAAAAAAAAAAGATGGAGAATATATTGCGTTTTTATTATTCGTGGCTAAAAAGAAAAAGCGACGACCTTTACCTTTTTGGGATTCGAAGAAGACGAAGAGGAGGGAGTGAGATTAAGTAGGAGAGGGGAGCTAGGGTTTTGGAGGCGACAAGTGGAACCAAAACGCGGCGTTTCGGAGGAAGGACACCGGAGAGAGAACTTAATACGGCACGCCATTGGGACTGGATAGATTGCTGCAGCAGACCGGGGGGACTATAACTAACTCCAAACAGAACAAGGAAAGATGATGATTCGGCTCCACCAAACGCGTGCCGTTTGGCCCATTGGCCGCGGGTGGGGTTTTGTCCGACGGCCCAATTATGGTCCGTGGGCTTACGGGTTCGGTTTTAGACCCGAGAAATCTTGAAAATAACCTTTTTTTTTTTTATTAAATTGACTGAGATGATCATCTTCAATATATATCAAATGTTGTCAATATATTAAATATTGATTAATCTTCAAGTTTAAGTTTTTGAATATACTTTTATTAGTTTTTCTTAAAGGATGTGTGTTGAACATTAATTTGGTGTTGTCTTTTGTCTTTGTGAGGAGAGACAACTGTTGGGGGACTTTTAGGTCGAGGTAGACTTGGGCTTTGAGAACATCATCTTATCTCCCTTGGTTTGGATTCGTATCAAGTCCTAAAATATCTCAAAAGAGTTAGCTTGTCTTAAGAAATACCCGAGTAACATCAACAGCTCAAAGATAACATGATTGATCAAGACAATGACATGCTAAAGTGAAGTGTGGTGTGAAACCTAGAAGATTACTAGTTTAGCATGAGAGAAAAGGGGTTTGCATGGTTGCATGGAATTATTTGCTGGATCATTTGGGTTTTCCTAGAGTGATAACAAAACTTCTAATGGTTGGGATCCTTAATAGAAGGCTATGGGAATTACTAAGGTTGCATGGATGATGATTCTTGAGGCTTGGAGTATGCTTCTCAGCTAAATAGAACTCTCTGGGCTTATTTCCTGGGTGGTTCCATCTCTCTGCGTTCTCTTCTATGTCTCTGTGTTGCCTCCCTCTCCAATGGCTTCTCTCCCTCCTTTTGTAAGTGAAGGGTCTCCCTTTATGGCTTGGTATTCCCCTTCCTTTCTCCATAGCCCTCTTACTATTTCCCTTTTGGTGTAATGTAGCTGCACTGTTAAGACCTTCCTAAGACGCAGCTTTCCCAGGCCAGCCTTCCATATGCGCTAC